GTAAGCCCCTCAGAATTTATTATTTTGGTCAAGTAATTAATTTGAAAAATTAATTTTACTCATGAAGATTTATAGATTCTTATAATTTTGGTAATTCCTATGGGTTTGTTGACACCAACATAGTTTATAAAGACTTTTCTAAGTAGCTTGAGATGTTTGAACTTTAAGTTTTAAAGATATTATAAGAAATTCATATCTTCAAACTGTAATTTAATTTCCTTAAGATTTTCACTTTTAAATTTATTTTCAATTTCATACTTGATTTAAACAATTTTCTTAAGAAATAACATTTACTCTTGACTATCCTTTATTAATTCTTAGTTTGTGTCTTCATAATACTCATAACGTTTATTTAATTAATTATCAAGAAATTATAACATTTGAGTATTATTTTGTAGTAAAGAAATTTCAAACTTTTCTAACTCTTCTCTCTTATGTGTAATAAACTGAATCAGATTTTAAGTTTCTTACAAAAATTTATTTTAATTTAGAGAGATAGCTGGCAAATTTGAAAGTTTCAATTTCAATTCATCAAATAATGAATTTTTTTATCTTTTAATACAAGTTTTATTAATTCCTTTTATATTATATCTTTTTATTCCTAAAGCCCTTTCACTTTGTTAGTTTCTGTATTTTGATTTGAGGAATCCACCATATTTTCTTAAATTAATGATTACAATATTTCTTCTAATACTTTTAAAGTTAATATAAGTAATAGAATTTTATAATTCTTTAATTAGTCAAGTTATCTATTGGGATAATTTTAATTTCTTGGACCTCAATCCGTATGTAACTAATTCAATTAAACTAAATATGTCCTAATACTTATTGAGTTTTTTGTCAAAGGAGTTTAAATTGTGTTAAGGCAAAGGAAAAATTGAGTTCGAATTTATTAATCTCTTTTTTTTGAACTCCTAATCGTTCTGGTCTCTCTTTATCTATAATCTTAGTTCTTGCCTTCTTATGATTTCTAATATTTGTTAATCTTCTAAACATGTGTTTTTTGATTTAATTAAAGTGAAATTTTAGCGACTCATTTAAATAAATAATAATATAAATTATAATAATAATAAAATTTTATTGGATAAATATGTCTAATAATAATGGTTTATGCTGAATGAAAGAATCAACTAAATGAAAAATTTAAGGAAACTAAAATATGATGGAAGTTTTTGTTAAGTGTGCACATCCAGAATTAAAGGCTGATAAATAATAGAAATGTCTCCTTTATGGAATACTAGAATAATTAATGGTTTGATCAATATGATAGTTAAAGTTATTATAATAAAAATTTATTTTTTAATATGATAGAGATTGTATTAGTAGAACTTGAAGCACATTTAAAATAGAATTTTGATTATTTGTTAACAATATTCTTAATTATAATTTCAAAATTTTTTCTTATTCCTTTTTTTTGGAATAGAATTCGGTGATTTAGCAGCATCGTTTATTTTTTTTATAGTTGGGGATCGAGTTGTACTACTTGCACTTAAGAAAAGAGCTGTCTAAGATACATTTGCTTTTTCTGACTTCTTAAATTTCTCCATTAGAATTTTTAATCTGAATTCTAGTAAAAACTTATAGCCTTTGATAAATCTAGAGGAGTATAAATTTAAGCATATGTTAAAATCTTCATCAAATTAACTAGATTGAAGATTTCTTATATTTGATATTTTTGAATTTAAATCCTCCTCTAATTTTAATATCTTGAATCTTGTATGACTATGACTTTACGGCGTTTATGAAATTGATTTTCCAAAAAACAATCGGCGTGGGCTAATATAATCAAATTATTAATTTTATACCTTATTTTTATTTTTGAGTACATTTTAGATCAATACATATATATATGATTTTTTACTAATCATGAAGTTCAATAGGACTTAAATTCATATTTTGATAAAATTTAATAATTATTAATTATGCGCACTTTAACAGGCACTCCTTTTATTCTTAGGAACTTCTTAGATAAGAGGAAACTAAAATAAATCAATCATTATCATCAAAATTTATATCACCCAAAAAAACAATACTTGGATTATGAAGATTTTTTTGATTAAAAAGAGCAAATTTATTATTTATCATTTAAACAATAAACAATCATTAAAAGATTATTAAACTTGAGAGATAATTATAAATTATTCTTAAACAATTTACAATCCTACTAAGATTAATTAATTTAATCTATTAGTGAGGTTATGAAAAAAGTTTCAAATAAGAGAAATCAATATTTATAAGAACAAGAATATGAACTGAGATAATAATTGTAAGAAATTTAAAACAATAAGGAGCTTATCAATTCTTATTCTAATAGTCGTATTTGATAATCACCTTTAAAATAAAATATATTTTTTTAAACAAATTACTAATAAATTATCAGAATTAAATAATGAGATATTTGAATTTTTTAATAATGGTAATTCAAATTAATCTAATAGATATTAAAAAAAATTTTTCAAATTTAAAAGAATCAAGTTCAAGAAAGAAATATAATGCATCTCCTTCACAATTTAAAGATATTGATAGAATTTTATAAATAAAAAAATCATCAAGTAAACCTTAATTTTTAGGTAATAATTCACCTTAGAATTTTAAAAATTTATTGAAGTTCTTAAACTTAAAATTAATAACACAAATAACGATAATTTATTAATGAGTTGACCAAATTTTTAAAGTAATTTCTTATTAAGTAAATTAAATATTACCTCAAAGTGGCTTTCAATTGAACAATAACTTTAATCTTAAAACAAAGTATTTTTTTAATCTGTTTTTTAATTAACTTTATTTATACATTTCAATAAAATAAAATAGAAATACACAAAAGTTCTTAATTATTTAATTAGAAGAATTAAGATAAATTATATTTTATTCTTTGTAATTTAATTTGATTTGATTTTTAAAACAACAAAATTATTCTTTAATTTAATGATATTAAAATTTAAGTAAATATAATGGAAAACTATTGAGAAAAATTAAAT